CTTTTCCTTAAAAACTCTTTATACTCTTTTTTTTTTTTAAGATTTATTTATTTATTTATACAAGCACTGGGCATAGTCAGAGGCACGGGAGGGTGAGAGAACTCACCAGAGCCAGAGCAGGAAGTAGAACAGGCAGAATGACCTAAGCACACTGCTGAGGGGAGCAGCGGGTGGCAGGAGAAGTCTGTGCACCATGTGGGACCCTTGCCCGGCGACCAGGCATCGAACTGGCGCTGCAGAGGCTGCGGGCAGCTTTGCAACCCAGCGCTCAACCACTGCGCCACCGGGGAGGCCCTTAAAAACGCTTTAAAGATAAGCTGGCACCTTCACAGTGAAAAAACTTGGTGGACACCACCTTATCCAAGTGATCAAGGCTAACTAACAATACCAATAATGGCAGAGTGATCATGGGCCTCCTGACAGGAGGCATTTATTACATAAATACACATTTATTACATAAATGCACTCAACCGCATTTATGTATTATTTCTGCCAGAAATGCATAACTTGAAATTAATTATATCGAAGTTGAGTGCCATTCTATAGAACAACTACCCTGTGCTCTTAAAAAATGTCAATGTCATGAAAATCAAAAACTGAGGAACTGTTCCAGATAGAAGGAAACTAGAGACATTACAACTAAAAGTTATGTATGATCTTAAATCAGCACCTGGATAAGGAAGAAAAAACCTGCTTTAAAGATGTTACTGGAACAGGGCCTTCCTGGTGGTGCAAGGGGTTAAGCATCGCACTATGAAGCAATCCACAGCCTCTGCAGCACTAGCTCGATCCCCGGCCAGGGAGCTGACCCACATGGCGCAGCAGACCTCTTCTGTCTCCCTGCTGCTCCCCTCAGCAGTGTATTTCAGTCAGTCTGCCTGTTCTGCTCCCCACTCTGTCTCTGGTGAATCCTCTCAAACCCCCCCCCATCTCTGGCCTGTACCCCAGCTCTTGAATGCATAAATAAATCTTTAAAAAAAAAAAAAGATGTTGCTGGGACAACTGATGGAATCCAACTGTAAATGGCATCATAAATATTAGCATTTTATCAGTGTCAAATCTCCTGAATTTGGTTACTGCAATGTGATTAGGTAAGATAATGTTCTGATTCTTAGAAAACATGCTGAAATATTTAGCAGTAAAGGAGCATGATATCTGCAACTTTCAGTTCAGTAAAGATAACACGGTATGTATATATCTATGAGCATTTTCAGAAAAGTCTTATCGAGATGTGATTCACATACCATAAAGTTCACCCTTTTAAAGTTTATACAACTCGGGCCTCCCCGGTGGCGCAGCAATTGAGTGCTGGGTTGTGAAGCTGCCCGCAGCCCCTGCAGCACTGCTTCCATCCCCGGCCACCGGGTGAGGGTCCCACATGGCGCGCAGACCCCTCCTGCCACCCACTGCTCCCCTCAGCAGTGTACCTCGGTCTTTCTGCCTGTTCTGCTCCCTGCTCTGGCTCTGGTGAATTCTCTCACCCTCCCGCGCTTCTGACTGTACTCAGTGCTTGTATAAATAAAATAAATAAATCTTTAAAAAATAAATGAAGTATACAACTCAATGGCTTATAGTATATTCACAAAGCTATATATCAATCACATTATTTAATTCCAGAACATTTTCATCATCCCTCCAAAACGCCATACCTACTGGCAGTCACTATCCATTCATTTTTTAAAACACTGAAAAAGGAAAAAGACTTCCAAATATTAACTGGTTATTTCTGAGTATTAGAATTATAGATGATTTTAATTTTCTATATTTCTCTAAATTATACAATAATTTCATATTACTTCTATAATTTAAATTAAGGCTTTTTTTTTTTAAAGATTTATTTTACACAAGAAGTAGGGTATAGGTCAGAAGTGGGGGAGGGTGAGAGAATTCATCAGAGCCAGAGCGGGGAGCAGAACAGGCAGATGGACTGAAGACACTGCTGAGGGGAGCAGCAGGTGAGGCAGGAGAGGTCTGCTGCGCCATGTGGGGTTCTCCCTGGCTGGTGGGGAATCAAACTTGCGTTGCAGAGGCTGCGGACAACTTCGCAGCGGGTACTCAACTGCTGCGCCACCAGGGAGGCCCGAAATTATGGCTACTTTTTAAGCAACAGCAACAAAAGAAAAGTTAAGAAAGAATTAAGGGGCAATAAGAATTCCAAAATACACAAAATGCTTAGGAAATGACCCTAGAGCCTTCCTGGTGGCGCAAAGGGTTAAGTCCTCAGCACTATGAAGCTATCAGCAGCCACTGCAGCACAAGTTCAATACCAGGCCAGGGAGGTGACCCACATGGCGCAGCAGACCTCTCCTGTCTCGCCCACAGGTCCCCTCAGCAGCGTATTTCAGTAGAATCCACCTGTTCTGCTCCCCACTTTGTCTCTGTTGATTCTTCTCATTCTCCCCACCTCTGGCCTACACCCCAGTTCTTCTATGCATAAATAAATAAGACTTTAAAAAAGAAAAAGAAAAATGACTTTTAAAAAAACAAGAAATGACCGTAGTATATCATGTGGTTTCCCAACTCCTTGATCCACTACCACCAAAAAGGTCTAAGCGGCAAAAGTATAGCAAATATGCCGCTCATTTCTATTCCACAGCCCGAACGGCTCTCACAGAGGAACGGGTTCAGCCAGTTCAGCAAATATTGCCTGAGTACCTAGTACTGTTGCCTGGCACTGTGTCTGCCAAATGCAGTGTCTGCCCTATGTGCTTCAGCTAACAGTAAGGAAGTGGCATGTAAAATAAAGGCATTATCACCACAACAGCCCAGAGCACTCACTGAAGAGCAACAGGACTAATTACTTCTGCTCAAGTGGCCCAGGGCAGCCTTCAGGGAGGAAACACTCAGACTCTCCTTAAGGCCATAGGGAGCCTAAGGCAGGAAAAACCCTATCAGTACCTTTACAATACTGTCTCCCTAAGTGCTGGGTGGACATGAGGCATGAATTTCCCAAAAGAAGTTAGGGAAGATCACGCAAGATGAGGAAAAGGGAAAAGCAATGCTGCTTGTGAAAAGCAGACTTATTGTCAGAAAGTGAAAACTGACCCTGTGGTGTCTACCTATTAACAAACCCCACTGCTGGACACCCACATTAATAGAGGGACCAATTGCCTTAGGTGTGTTTTCTTCCCTTCTAGATTGTACACTCCTTCTTTAAGTAAAGCAACAAAGAGAAAATTGGCACTTCAAAAATGTTAATTTCCATCTTCCTCACTCTCCACTCTCTTCTCCCAAGGTCTTGCACAAAGGAAACAAATAAACATCTGTGGAATCAACCACCTACTTTATGTACTAAAAAATAATGTTGTATGACCTTACGTTTGAGTCATATAAACCAAAAATATGTATTAAAGCTAATTTAGAAAGATTTGCAAAAAGTTTTTTCCTCTTCTCAAAGCCTCCTCATCTGTAATTTCATCTGATCCTCATGGCCTGAAAAGATATTTAGTGATTCATTCTCATTGGACTCGTGGGCCAGAGAGGGTGAATTATTTGTCCAAGGTTACAAATGTGACATGGGAAGGAGCCCAGGTCCTAATTTTCTGACTTCGAGACCAGTGCTTCTCCCACTGCATTACTGTTCCCGTTTAAGTCTGGCATTTCTCATTACCTCTCACCATACCAAAAATAAACTGCAGCTAAGATAAATAAATAAAAACTGCAAACATACAACTGTGAGAAAAGCATACGGAAATATTTTTATAACCTCGAGGTAGCATATCACAAAAACCCAAAAGCCACAGGAAGATTTGACTATGTAAAACTTTTAAAAGTCTATGTAAAAAAGGCAGCAAAATGGTTGAAGATAACTCATGACTTTATTTTCCCCTCCTAGTAATTTTACTCACTCAGTTTTCCAAAATGGTTTTTGCTCTTCCTTGAAAGTCTCAGTGCTATCTGGCTATAACCAGCCACTGAGGTATGAGTTCCATCCCCCACCAGGGAGCTAACCCACATGGCACAGCAGACCTCTCCTGTCTCACCCCTCTGCTCCCCTCAGCAGTGTATTTCAGTCAATCTGCCTGTTCTGCTCCCCACTCTGTCTCTGGTGAGTCCTTTTACAAACTCCTTCCCCCCGGCCTACACTCCAGCTCTTGTAAGCATAAATAAATAAAATTAAATCATTCAAAAAAAGTCTAGAATACATGTAGGGCACATTGTAGATGCTCAATAATAAGCTCTGGATTAAGAAAAAAAATTTTTATATGAGCAAAAAATAAAAGCCTAGTAGTAGTTTGTATATCAAACTGGTAAAAACAACCTTCCGGAGCATGAACTAGTAGAGAGAGAAAGTAAGCATTTTTGGCCTTTTATTCTTTTTTGTTGTATGGATTTTTTAAAGTAATTATGAGTTACCTTTTTAAAATATTTTTTTAAGATTTTTTAATTTATGCATACAAGAGCTGGGGTACAGGCCAGAGATGCAAGGGTGAGAGGATCCACCAGAGACAGAGTGGGGAACAGAACAAGCAGACTGCGGGCCTCCCCGGTGGCGCAGCGGTTGAGCTGCCCGCAGCCTCTGCAGCGTCGGTTCGATCCCCGGCTGCTCCCCGGCCACCAGAGGAGGGTCCCACATGGCGCTCAGACCTCTCCTGCCACCTGCTGCTCCCCTCAGCAGTGCACTTCGGTCCTTCTGCCTGCTCTGCTCCCCGCTCTGGCGAATTCTCTCACCCTCCCAAGCTTCTGACTGTACCCAGTGCTTGTATAAATAAATAAATCTTAAAAAAAAAAAAAAAAGAACAGGCAGACTGACCGAAATACACTGCTGAGGGGAGCAGCGGGTGAGACAGGAGAGGTCTGCCTCACCATGTGGGTTTCTCCCTGGCTGGCCAGGGATGGAGCTCGTGCTGCAGAGGCTGCAGATTGCTTCAAAGTGCGGTGCTTAACTCCTTGTGCCACCAGGTAGGCCATAACTTTTTAAAAATTAAAGACAGTTCTAATGACAGTTTCTCTCCATTTTATATCAACCTCATGATGCTCCTAAGCGCACAGGAACTTACTATGAATAGCTCAAAACGTGGAGTGCTCAGGAAACGAAACCTGTGTGCAAAAAAATAGCTGGGAATCCTTGTCTTCTTTCACTCTCGGTTCTCCTAAACGCAACCTGAAAGCACCTAATCATAAACTGGGCCCTAAAAGGAATCGACACTTCCCTCCACTCAGTGCTCTCGGCACGGTCCATCTTTAGCAGGACTAAGCATCTCAACACCTAAACCCGACAGCTAAAGCTGGAGGGAGTATTTGAAGGCTCAAGTTTCCAGGTCCCAGGAACCACCCTGCACGTCTACGAGCAGCCTGCAAGCTCTAGAGCTTTTTCCAGGCAAGGAGGGCAATTTTAGACCCTGGGCGGCCCGCAATGAGGAGGGAAGCGGTATAAGGTAGCCCGACTGGGTTACCACGGCCGCACATTTTCAGACTGTGGCGGGGTGCACACGGCGGGCGCGCTCTGAGAAACCTCGCTCCTCCGCCGGCGATCGCGGCCCTCACCCTGAGGAGAGCCCGGGCGAAGACAGCTCCCCGAGTTACGTCAAAAGCCGTTACCAATGATGCGGGATCTACTTGGGGCTCCAGGCTCAGAAGCGACAGGGAGGGAAGACGCGAGGAAAGGAGGGGGGTGACTGTTTTGCTTTTGCTTTTTCAAAAGTCTGAACCATTTCACCTAGAAAAACCTGCGAACCAGCAACCCGCGCTCAAACCTTTCGGGGTCTTCACGCTGCCCTCAGTCAAGATGGCGGCCGGGGCTCGGCCGCACCACGGCGCACGCGCCGCGCCGCGCCGCGGCCCCTCCCGCTTCCCGTCCCCCGCGCGCCGGCGCCGCCCACTCAGCCGCCGCGCCGCCTCGGCGCATCCCCAGTTCGCCCCTTCTCGGGCTGTCCCCGCCCGTCGAGGCTCCGAGCCCGGAAGTGGATCGCGCGGCTCGGCGGAGAGGCCGGGGGGGAGGGGAAAGTGCTTCCGGGGAAACGGGCCCCGGGCTGGTGTTTGTAAACTTGCCTCGGTCCCGACGGGGGCAGCGGCGGCCGCGGGGTTGGCACGGCGTGCGGGGGCCCGGAGGCGGCGCCCCGCGGCGGGGCGGGCGGCGGGCGGCAGGTAAGAGCACGCCCCGGGGGCGCAGCGGCGTCCGGGCCGACGGCGGCGCCTCAGCAGCGCGCAGGCCGCGGCGCCGCGCGGGAGGGGGAGGGGAGGCGGCGCGCGCGGCGGAGGGCCCGGCCGGGGAGGGGCGCGGTGCCCCCGGCCCGTGCGTCGGGCCGCGGCGCCGGCCGGGGAAGGGGCGCCGGCTGCGGGGACGCGGGCGCGAGCACGCACCTGGCGCGCTCCTCGGCGCTCGCGGGCTCGGGGCGGCGGGCGCGGCCGCGGGCGGGCGGGAGGGAGGGACGCGCCGCGCGGGGCCTCGCCGGCCCGCCGTCCACCCCCGCGCCGGGTTTCCCCACCTCCCGGCGGCCGCGGAGCGCGCGCACGTGTGGCCGGCCCGGGCACACTCTGCCAGGCGTTTCTGCCCGCCCCCCGAGTTCCCAGCGACGGCCCTGGGCTTTCCTCCCACCCGCTTCCAGCCTCCGTCGAGGGCGAGCTTCGCGGGCCGGCCCACTAGGCACAAAAGCCCCGAAGGGCCCCCGCCCCCTGGTGCCTTTCCTAAGATGGCAAGTCCGAGCTGTTGATCTAGTGACAGATTTCCTCCAAAGAGACCCCGCTTACTTTTGCGCTTCTTGACTGCCCCTCCTTGCCAGGAGACCAGTTTCTTCTCTTGACCTAGAAAGCTCTCTTGACTCATGTCCTCTTTCTGAACTTCACAAGGAACGCCTGGCAAAAAAAAATTTTTTCAACCCGCCACAGGTCACAAGGCTTGAGGATGTGGCACCTAATAGCCTCCTCTCCCCTTCTGGTTTCAGGTTTATGAAACAGATTGTGAAGTTCATCGAGAGCAGTCAACTGGAAAACCAAGACTGGCAGACTCTTCATTCAATAGACAGGAGCCAGGCAGAGTCCAGGGATTCTTGCAACATCTCTCTTCCCTTTGGAGGACACTAAGTTTTATTTGAAGACAAAGAAAACTCAATATGGCAGCAGGACTGAAGGGACACAAAGGAGTTGTTACAGTGATCTGGTGACAGTTCTTCCAACAGCAGTGTCTTAAGGAAGGGTGGATCAAGAAACACCTGAACTTTGGGTTGCGTTAAGTGAGAAATCAGCATGGCTCAGGTAAAAAACTCTAGAGTCCTCCTCCTTCAAGATCACTGGGAAGCTTGTTTGCAATTTCACTCTTGAATGCTGCCTTAGTCAACATGTTGACCAGCCCAGTGAGCCAAGCTCTGTATTAAGCACCAGGGGGAGATCTAGAGGAAGGAAAGGAGACAGGCCACAGCCCCTGCCTTCAGGGAGCTTCCAGTCAAATGAAGGAGGTAGGCGATATTGCATCACAGGCACTGATGGGACACCTGCTAAGCAACGTGTGCTCAGCTTACACTTGGTACATTAAGTACTAAGGGGCATGAGGGAGTGGACAGTCTGGTGAATGCTTCATTTGTTTTTTTCTTTCAACAGAAATTTATTGAGCTCCTGTTACATGCAAGGCATTGTACTGGGAATACAAAGATGAATAAGGTTTTCCCTGTCCCCAGCAAGCTTCCAGGCTGTTTAGGGTGGGGTGGGGAGAGCTGGAGAGATAGTCTTACTTTCTATGGGCACAACAGCTTGCACAGTGATTGACTTGTATAGAGACTCAGTGAATATGTTGATTGAAGGGATGTGCAATGATAGAGAGATGTGCAGTGACAGGAGAGGATGCTACCTTTGCCTGGATGGAGAAAGATGAAGCCTGAAGGAGGCATATTTTGCTACATATAAAGTAGCAGAACAGGAGCATTCAGACAAGAACAGCTTGGGCAGAGGCTTGGAGGCATGGGAGAATGTGATGAGGTTAGGAGTACTGCAGGTAGTGTGTTAGTCAGGGAGCAGAAGGTTTGAACAGTTGTTGGGGGGTGGGATAGATAGTAATGAATGGGGAAGTTAGGGTGAGTGAATTGTTTCCTGGAGAAGTAAGCAGATTGTAACCCTTACGAAGGAATTAGACTTTATTCTGTAGGGTGAACTATGTGGAGAATGTTGAACAGCAGAGTGACTTTCCATCAGTGTATTTAGACGGTAATTGCCATTGTGGGACTATAGGATGTGTTAGAGAGGCAGGATGACCAGCAAGGCTAGTGGGATCATCTGGGTAGAAAAGCTGTGTTTAACATCCCCAGAGTTTTTCCCTGCTTTCTTCCAGGGACCCTCCCGTCCCAGTCTCACCAGGATGGCAGCATGATTATAGTGTAATGGGCTTTCTTCCCGCTGCACGCGTAGCTTCCTTTTCTGCACAGTAGGAGCCCTCCCGCTTCTTCTTTTGTCTGGTTGCCACCCACTTTGTGGCATCGTGTTCGCTCTTGTTTTGAGAATACTGCCATTCCCTCATCGATAATTTTGTACTGAGTACTGCTGAGTGCTTTACACCTTACAGTAACCCCATGGCCCTGTGAGTATAGATGAGTATCTTGCACTTAAGGAAGCTGAGAATTAAGTTTTTTACCTCCAGACCTTTCACTCCAAAGTCCTCGAAGGGGTGAGCAGAGTTCCCAGGATATACTTGTTATCTCAAAGGAATTTCTTTTTAAATCACTTCTGGAAGTTTGCTGACCCAACTATTTCTTAAAAATGTTTCTTCAGTAAGAAAAGTCTATTGCTGGCTGAACAACGTCAGTTTGAAGGCTGTAAAGTCAGTTTAAAGACTGTAGCAGTGAAGAGAGGAAATTTTCTTAAATATTGCTCATTTAAATAATTTTAACTGTATGTAGAGCCTGGAACGTGAAAATATATGGGCGTGCATACACATAGATGGGTGCGGAGGACGAGAAATTGTATATTCAACTCTAGAATCCAAGTGTTTTAATTTTATCTGTTGCAGCTGACATTCAGAAATTTTAAAATCTAAAGGGAAAATGAACTAATTTTATTGATAAACCTATTTGTGGGACCTGATGGAATATGTAGTTGGCACTAGATCTTCCATTTAGGGGAACTGGGTGCTATTGTAGGAGGAAGGTCCCCTCGAAATCTCGCATTTCAGTGGGTCAGCAGGACAGACCTCGTGCCCACTCACAAGTAGAAATACTCCTCAGAACCATGTAGCCACACAGGTACACACAAACCGTACCTAGCACAGTACTGATGACAAGTGTCAGTGATGCTTGATAGTTCACTTCATGTACATCTAAATGCTAACCAATGACACAATAAGTAGTTCCTGGTGAGATGACTTAGGGAGGACTCTTGAAGGAAGCAGGGTTTCTCAGTGAGGTGGGAACTCCTTGGAGTAAGGCCGTTTGTTTATAGCTGGGTGTGAAGATAGTTCTGTGGAAGATGGCAGTTTTTTTGTCCTGCCCTGCTGGGTGACCTGACACCTCATCTCCTTTCAACTTAGGCAAGTCTCCTGGCTTGTGAAGGCCTAGCAGGTGTGAGTTTGGTTCCCACTGCAGCCAGCAAGAAGATGATGCTGAGCCAGATTGCCAGCAAGCAGGCCGAGAATGGAGAGCGGGCAGGTAGCCCTGATGTGCTGAGGTGCTCAAGTCAGGTACGGCGCTTGAGTCCGTTGTGGCGCCTGGGGGTTGGGCAGCCCAAGCTCTCTGCCAGGAGATGCCAAGCTTTGATTCCTCCATGCTTCTGTTTAGGGAAGTGGGACTAAGGGGTCCAGCAAGGGAATGAAGGAGCGTGGGCATTTTAAAGAGCCGAGGAAAGTCTTTTCTGTACCTGCAACCCCGTAAGACCAGGGTACATGGAAAGGAATGGATGAGTACTGTCATGAAACCATTGGGGCAGATGGTTTACTGTCACTAGTAAGTTACCTGAAAGCAGCATTCGGTCTCCTGGCTTACGTTCTGAGATGGACTGTGAATTCAGATTTGATTTGTATTCAAAGGGCCACCGAAAAGACAGCGATAAGTCCCGGAGCCGTAAAGATGATGACAGCTTGGCCGAGGCCTCTCATTCCAAAAAGACTGTTAAAAAGGCAGGTAATGGGGAAATCTAATCCCCAAACTTGAAAAGTTTGGGAATGGGGCAGTCCTCTTTCTTCCCTCTGTGACTCAACGTGGAGCTTTCCCTAGATGTTTTGGTCCTTTCACTGCCAGGGATGTCACCCTGATTTTATCCAGAGATCGCTTTGGTAGTTGATCTCTGCTGTCGCTGGAATATCCTTGGTAAAGGAGAGTCGGGGGGCCTGAGAGAGACGTTCCTGAGGCATAGGGGCAAGCAGATTACCGTCGGGTCACTTGTGGATCTCAGAGTGTTGGGTCTGAGAGTCAGGAGCTCAACCCGCACCACCTCCTCCCCCGGGGGGTCTCTTCACTTCAAGGGATGTGGGAAATGATGACGTCACAGAAGTTGCTTTGTCCTGTCGTGAAAGTAGATCCAGAGTAGAATGGAGGCAAGAGAGCGGGCAGAGCGCTGCTTCATGACATGCCTGATTGTTGCCCCCAGGTGGTGGTAGTGGAACAAAATGGTTCTTTTCAAGTAAAGATTCCCAAAAATTTTATTTGTGAACACTGCTTTGGAGCCTTTAGGAGCAGTTACCACCTCAAGAGGCACATCCTTATTCATACTGGTAAGTCTCTTGCTTGTATTCAAAAGGGGAAACCAGTCTGTAGTTCGGAGTGAGTGAGTGTGTGTGTGTGTGTAGCTGTTGTTGGGTTTATTTTAAGGAGCAGATATTAGAGGAGGAAGGTAAGTGAATGAGGTCGACAGGCCACATGGCTCTGTATCTAGTGTCTCAGAGACCACTGGCTCTGCAAACTCTTCCCCAGACGTATACACTGCTGAAAGTTAGCATTTCTGGGAAATACCTGGAATGAGGTCCCTGCCATGTATGCCTCCTGATACGAACCTCTCTCTCCACCTGGCCCAGGTGAGAAGCCATTTGAATGTGATATATGTGATATGCGCTTCATCCAGAAGTACCACTTGGAGCGCCACAAGCGTGTGCACAGTGGTGAGAAGCCTTACCAGTGCGAACGATGTCATCAGGTGAGCCCGCGCCGTCCATCCACCCCTACACATGTGACCCAGGGCCGGCCCCACTCCCTGCCCAAGAAGGAACCTCCTGGAATTTCTGACTATGATAAAGTTAGTCCTCAGAGTGAGGTGCATCTCTCTGGCCTTTTGCAGCTGTTCATAAGAATTACAATTATTAGAATAATTGTAATGGTGGCGGTGGTAGCATTTCTTGAGTACTCTGTCAGGCGCCGCGAGAGCAAACCTGCTGTAGATTGTTTTATTTAGGCCTCGCGTTAACTCCATAAAGTAGCTGTGTCATCCTCTTTTCACAACTGGGGAAATTGAGATTCAGAGCGATTCAGTTTCTCAAGGACACAGGAGAGCAAGGGCAGACACTAGATACAATCGAACTTTACAGCTGCTACATTTTGGAGGAAGAGATATAATCTCTGCCGTGGGGCTCATTATCTGATCCAGTGAAAATGTAGGAGCACCAGAACCAAAACACAACAAGAGCATGAGATGAGAAATGATTACAGCTGACACTTCCTGGATGCTTTGCTAGGTCTCGAGCTTTGTTCCACCCTCTTTCACTGACTTTTTTAATGCTGGGATGAAAGCTTAGTGAGGCAGAGACTTTGTCCTTCTAGTTCTTCACTCTGTGCTTAATCGTGAGATAATCTTTTTGAGTAAAGCAACCACTTTGCAAGTAGGCACTTTTAGCCCCATTTTACAGATGACTGTACAGATTTAGGACTGTTAGACAATTTGCCCGAGGTCACACAGCTGCTAAGCGGCCGAGCCAGGTTTCAGACATCGGCTCACGTCGTTCACCCCTGGCTCGCGCCATCTGTGTACTTGCCGACGGGACATAGAATAGGGCATGTGCCTCCTGGGCGAGGAAGGCACATCTAGCCGACAGCTATCTGGGTTTCACCTCTGTTACTTAACCCTCCCTTTCTTCTCAGTGTTTTTCTCGGACAGATCGATTACTCAGACACAAACGGATGTGCCAAGGGTGTCAGTCCAAGACTTCCGACGGGCAGTTTTCTCTATAGGCGCAAGGGGCCCCTGGTGGTGGGAGTGATCAGAAGAATCTACCGAAGAGTGCACCCCCTCTGGTCTGATGGTCCCACCACCACCCTGTCTGTACCTGTCCCCCTCCTGGAGGAGTGGACCCAGGAGACCAGAAGAGTGCATCAAGGGACAGCGGCCCCAGAGCCTCAGCTCTGTAAATAATCTGAGACTTTGAGTATCTCGGGGATGTTCCTGCAGCATTCCTGGGGAGGGAAGCTAGTCCCTGGACCCTTGGCTGAGGTCATAGATGGAGACTCCAGGCATAGGACCAAGACTGAAATACGGCTCCCACAACCTTGGACTCTAGCTGGCAGCTGAAATGGAAAAGATTGGGGAGAGGGATTTATTTGTTCTGTTCTTGTTTTTGTTTATCCAAAAGCAATTTCAGTAGGCATACTGTGGATACAAGTAATCTAGAGGCATAAAGTCCTGGGATAAAGCAGGGATTTTGGCTGGTCCAGTCCTCCCCCAAAATTGAATTTTTGGTTATAGTTGATCTTCAGTGTTCCACATCCTGCACTTCACCTCCTAGTTGAAGGCGAGTAGGGTCAGGGAAGGCAGGTGAGAGTTCAGCCTCCTCATACACTGTAGGCGCAGAAGAAGAGCAGTGGGAGGAGTGGACGAGGCTGGATCCAAGATGAGTGGACAGGTGCCTCTTGCTCCCTCTAGGGAAGAGCAGGAGTTGTGTGCTTGGGTGTTACGATGGCTCATGTCACACTGGTATCTGATGAGGTCAGTTCAGTGCCTTGTGGAGGAAACTTGGGAAAGAAGGGCCCAGAAAACCCTTTCCTTCTCTCCTTAGGCAGTTGATCCTGGAGATAGTTTGTGGCTACCTCGTTGCCATTGACTCCTAAGCCAGACAGATGTTGAGCAGGAAGTCATGGATGTCAAAGTGGGTTCTCTCTCCTGGTGCCCACATGGAGTAACAACTGTGCAGGAAATAAGGAAATTCAGGGTCCCTTGACATGACCGTTGAGCAGTGGGAGCTGTTCTCCCTGCCCAAGTCCTATCACTGTATTCACGTAGAGGGAATGAGGTCTAGCCTTCGGTCCCAAAGAACAAGATTTTGGCTTCCTTCTTGGTGGCCACCCTCACCCAACAAAGAATTGGTGGTGGGGAGGTGCCACTTGAGCAAGGACTGAGGAAGAAACCTAATATAGGTTTTATTCTTAACCATATTCTTTGCTCCTCTCTGTTCTAACACCACCACCCTGTTCACCCCCAAAAAAGTGATCAGGGGTGTGTGTGTGTTATACGTGTTTGTATGCTCAAAGGTGGCATGTTATTGAGCCAAACCTTCTTGGCCCTCAGCTTAGGAAAGGCTAAGCATAATACGGCCTCCTGCCACCCACACCTGAAGGGTGTGAAGTCTCAGCGGGAGCTGAAGAATTCAAATTAGGGGACTGGAGGGCTTTATTTTAGAGGGTTGTTTTGTTTTGTTTTTTGGATTTAGGATGATGCAACAGGCTGGTGGTTAGGGTGTTTCTAACCCAAGCCAGGTCTTATGAATGAATTTTCTAAGGCAAAATTGAAAACTCTCTTTCTGCTAAGGAAAGGATCCTTGGGAGGGGTTCTGGGATTTGGAGGCACTCCCACGGTGGGGTGAGGGGAACTGTCTTAGGAATAATCATGGAGGCTAGGTGGACCTGACCAAGCTGTCAGTGAGGGTCTGAAGTGGCACCTCCAGGAGGAGGCTTTCATTTCCCAGAGAATGTAAGGAATAGCAGCAGGAATCTCCGGCTGTTACCTATTCCAGAGGGGATAACTGGGGAGGGGGAGGGTCCTTCATACCTCTGAGGCATGAGGATTTCAAGGAAAAAGAAAGAAGTCATGGCACCCTGACAGCATCTGAGATCCTTTTTGGGGGAGACGCTGGGGAATGTGTTGGCACCCTTTGTTCAGGCTTTGTGCTGGCACTCCTGTTTGATGTGGTCCAGAGCTGAAACCTCAGTCCTTGATCTACCCTGTGGTCCCTGCAAGCAGGGCGTGTTTCCTCGTGTGAACCAGCCCCCTTCCTGTAAGGGGCTGCTGAGGCTGGAGTATCATTCACTTCTGGGAAGAATACATTCAGGAAACTGTCCTCTCAAAGCTTTTGAAAATGGGAGGGCTCTTCCCCTGCTACTTGCAGCTAAATGTGTTTATTGAGACGTGGGGGCTGTAGAGGGTATCCCGTGAGTGACCTACGCCCCCAGTGTGTGAATGTGTGGTAGGTCAGGCTGGGCCCTGGCCCTCCCCCACCCCACCCATCTCAGCTTCCTGCCTGTCGGTGAGCTGGAAAGACCTGAGCATTCGTGCGTAGGGCCCAAGGATTGGATGTGGAGGAAGCTCACAGCAGGTGGTCGGTTTAGTTGTCTGGGTGCTGATGTACTGGGGCAGTGGATGTGTGTGGCGAAAGGAGTGACTTAGTGCCCAGAGGGCCTCGGAGCCCCACTGATACTCCGGGGAAACCACAGACTAAGACCGCTGCCTAGGCTTCCAGGCCCAATATCCTGCCTTCTTTGCTGGGGGGGGGGGGGGGGGTCTATCACTGGAAAGATGCCTCAGGTGTGTTTGGGGTGAGGGGAAAGGGAGATAGGGCAGCCTTTCAGAGACCAGGACATGGAATTTGGGGATCTGGGAAAGAAAATGGCACCAGTTTCTGGGTAGGCTGCTGTACCTGGCCCTACCAGCCTTGCCCTTCCCAGTACCCCAAGTCTTCTCCGTCCATCTCCCCAAAGCCTCTTGTCATCTATCACTTAGCTACTGATTATGCCCCTTGGCTTGAATTTGGAGGGTTACATGAGGTGTGGCTGCACCACTTTAACCCTCTCCCCAGATGCTCTTTGCCTCTGCTGTGGCCCTGGGGATTTTATTTTCAATAATTCCTCCTCCCCTTCCTCTCTACCCTTTTTTTTTTTGAATATACTTATTTTGCTATTGGGGGAGGGGAATATCAAATGAACAAGATCACTTTTAAATGGTAGTTTTTATAAGATGTTATAAACTTGTATCTTTTTACCATTAAAGTACAGTGTATGTTCCTTCGTGATATATTTAGAATATTTAAATAAAAATAAAATGGGGCTTTTCTACATACTCTCTCCTCTTTGGGAAGAATATCTGATGGGGGAGCTTTTTCACTGGGGCCAGAGTAGTATTCCTTCTTTCCACCCAAATATATCCACCTCACAACTTCTAGCACCCTGTAAATGGCCGTTTTAAAACCTACCCTCCCACGGGAGGAAGAAGTAGACGTGGACAGTATCAGTTTTGATATTGATAAGAAAAAACAGGCACATGACAGAATGAGGTGCAAATGCTTGCAGTGGTTCTCAGAGTGCGGTCTGTGGCCCTCCCCCACGAGCGTTAGCCTGACACAAGTCCACCCAGCAGTGGCTGCCCAGACAGCCATAGCCGCACACCCCCGCACACTCAAGTTTAAGAACCTAGCTCAGGTGGCAAGAGGCTGTGGTGGGGGAAATGAAATGATAGCTCTGCTCTGAAGACTTTATTATGTACTCTGAGGGGTGAGCCCCGCTCTGTGAGGCTAGAAGCATTCCCCTGTGAGGCTTGGGTGTCGTTTGGAATGCCGGTTTCACGCAGCAGCAGGCGAGTGACAGACCCACCAGTCTCCAAGAGAGAAGAGCCCTGAGGAGTGTCCCTCCCGCCTTCAGGAAAGTGAACTTTCTGCTTGAAAGCGGGGATTGACGGTGGTGGTGATGGCGCTTCTGTAGAGAGGATTGTTGTCCTGAGGAAAGAGGTCGGAAATGATGAGGAAAAGTCCCAGGCCTCGTGCTTTATCCAGCTCTGATGAGCCAGCTGAGAACTTGAGCAGGCCCCTCAGCTGGTGGGTGTTGGGAGGGAGAGGCGGGTGGGAGGATTTACTAAGTGTGCAGAGGAGACCCAGACCAAAGTAGGGGTGGGAGGCAGAGAGCAAAAAGGACTTAACCAGGGCCCTTCCTGGTGGGCAGGGGGTTTAGTCTCAGCACCATGAAGTTATCAGCAGCCAAGCGAGTAAAACCCAGCCCAGTGGGACAGGGGCCAGAGTGTCCCCACCTGGTTCCAGTTCAGCTGCAGCCGCTCCTTCTCAAAGCGCTTATATTCTCGGCGGTCATAGATTTCCACTGAGAGCCGATAGGCCAGGACCAGGACCACTCCCACGACCACAATGCCGCCTACACAGCCCAGCACAATGTCCATGGTGTGGTCTTTCTCTATGGGGATGAAACAACACAGATTTCTGGGTGTGGCCACATCACAGTTGATGGACAGGACCTGCAAAGTGCTTAGCCCCAGCCCTGCTTGTCATTAAAAACGGAACTCGGTAGCATCCAAGGTTATCCTCAGAGCCCAGTGCCTTGTCCCTTTTTCTTGGATTCACAGCTTTGCTTCACACCCTCACCTGTTACCCATTGTCTTTACCTTCCCATCCCCAGAGTTCTGAGTGCCTCCCTCAACTTCCAGGGCTCAGTTTGGCACATCCACAGCTTCCCTGCCCACTTACTCTCTTGGGGTCTCACTTGCAGCACAGTCCTGTCTCCAGCTGTGTTCACCAGGAAGAAGAACAGCTGGTTGTCCAGGGTCCTCTCTTTGCACCAGTTGTCATCCAGGACAGGGCCCGAATCCAGTATCACAGTGACATTAACACAAGCCACCTTGCAGTTGGCAGCCAGAGGACCCGTCCCAAAGGCCCCACACTCTGCACAGTCCCTGTCCAGTGGATACCGATACGTTACCCACTGGGCAGTTGTCACCCACACTACAGGCAGGAAAGAGCAGGGGGTTGGGAGTGGCTCAGCAAACCCAACCCCCCTCCCCTGCTCCCAAGATGTAAGACATGAGGCCTCACCTGTGCCTCTCGCATGATGTCTTGCAGCCTGAGCACTGGTCACACAGGGCACCATAGTAGCCATCCAAGCAGTGGCAGCGATTGCATTTGCAGTGTCCATGCCCACTGCACAGCCCTCCGTCAGGACTGGCACAGTTGTCCGTGTCCCCGCTGCATTCACACGCTCTGCCCGTGTGGTTGGCATGACAGTGACACACTCCACATTGGCAGCGGCCAAAACCTGAAGCAGAGCCATGCTCAGAGTGACAGCCATGCTCCCTGCATGCAGCTGGACATCACATGCTGCTTAGAGTGCATCTGCATCCAGTTTCCTCTCAGGTGTGTTAGACACAGCCTCCAAATCCTATGCCAGAGTCTTCAATATTTGCCCTTAGTGCCCTGAAGCTCCCAGGCCTAAGTACCCTCTAGAGAGTCACTCTGACCCCTCCCTTCTCCAGAAGCCTCCAGGTACCTCCACAGAGGATGCCCTTGTGTCGCTCACAACTGGCATCATCACACTCGCACAGGCGCCCGGAGCTCTGGCCACTACAGCTGCAACGTCCACACTGGCACCGTCCCTTCCCACTGCACAGAGGTCCTGTCCCGTTGGGGCCTCGGCACCCAGATTCAAGATCCGGGGAAGAAAGCTCAGCCTCAGGGCACTCACAGAGCTGACCCAGGCGGCCAGGGACACAGCTGGTGGGGAGCAAAGGAGAGGAAGGGGGTCAGCATTCCCGTACCCCCTGTCCTGTCCTTTCCAGGATTCTCTAAACCCAAGACAGTGGCTGAAGGGAGTCCAGTGTAACGTGGAACACCAAGAGCTAGAAGAGCTGAATTTGTGGAGGGGAGGGCCTCAGCATGCCTGGGAAGCTTTGGGAGAAAAAGGTGGAAACTTGGGATATCTAGGAAAGAAGATGTCTAGAGACTTCAGTGGGAGGCTGGAAGGCAAAGGAAGAAGAATTCAGGGGTTTGTCATTGGTGGGCAGTCACACAGGTGAACAGAAGCAGGAGGCCCTTACCTGCATACCCCACACTGTAGGTGTCCCTGGCCACCACTGCAGTGGGGCGCATGTTGCTTGGAGTCACCGCAGTTACAGTCACACACGGTGTGTAACTCCACAGTCAGCTCCTCTGTGAAGCCAAGGACTTTGAACCTCAGAAGATGGGGCTCCGGAAGGCATTGGGTAGCTTGGAGAGTAACCGAGAAATTCACCTGAGGACAGGATGGGCAGAAACCAGACTAACGTCATGCATATATACACATACCCCAAGCCTGTGGATCATCCAGAACCTTCGCTGCAGTATACCAACCCCCATCTCCTAGAAACATGCTCGAGGAAGCCACCCGTTGGTTCCCTGCAGCAAGGATGGATGGAGAGCTACCCTATTGCATTGTTCTCTGGGCCTGCCCCCCAACTTTTCTTGCTTCAATTTGCCACTCCCACCACTGCTTCCCTCCTTCTGCCTATCTGGTTCTCACCATCTGGTTGATCCTGACATCATTGCACTGGCGCCGATCCCCGGCCTCACCCACCCTCTTCTCTGGACCCCCACACTGAGAGTCATAGGAGATATAGACCCCAGCAGGGAGTGAAGAATGTTCGAGGGTCACAGTGGATGACAGGCTCTGTTGGAAAAGAGAGAGTGAGTAAGTGACCACACGAAGGCAGCACCTTGTGCCTACTCTGGCCATCCCAAGTTCTGCCAGAACCCCACCTTCATCCCCCCTTGGGGCTCCTTCCATCCTGCCCTCTCGGGAGGCATTTCTGGAGGAAAGACCCGTGAGAAGCTTGAGTGGCACACACAGGGTCCATGGCCTCTGATCCGGCACTCTGCTGCAGCAGCAGCAAGGCTGCTGGGGGCAGGGGCTGGCCGTGGGCTGGGACCACGCAGTAGCTTTGATTTTCAAACCCCACATCAGGACTTGTAGCCTGTGTGCATACAGGTAGAAGGGCAGATTGTTTCCATTGACTGTCCTGGAAAATCTGACACTGTCTCCAATGTTCTCCTGTGGGTTTAGGACATGGTCCTTGTCACCAAGGAGCCTACTGTCTAGTTGCAGAAATAAGACCTAAACCCAAGAAATACGTAAAAGTGTTTACGTTTCCTTCTACCTGAAAAACTGATTCCTGTAAATACTATCTCTGCATTGCTTGTTAGCTCAGTGAAAGCAAGCTCCAGGGGGGACGTTCTTTATGTGCAGACTGGGGAGTAAATGTCAGCCTTTCGTCTGTTATCTGGTGACCTTGAACTATTCACTAAGCCTCTCTGTCTGCATCCCCAGTTATAAAACAGGGATGATGAAGGGTTACCAAGCAGGGCTTTGTTTGTTTTTACGCAGACGAACTGTGGTGTAGGGGCCTCCTTGGTGGTGCAAGGGGTTAAGATGCAACCGACGAAGCTAGCCACAGCCACTGCAGCACAAGTTCAATCCCCAGCCAGGGAGCTACCCATATGGCGCAGCAGACCTCTCCTGTCTCTCCTGCTGCTCCTCTCAGCAGTGTGTTTCAGTAGATCTGCCTGTTCTGTTCCCCACTCTGTCTCTGGTAAATCCTCTCACCCCCACTCCCCCACACCTGTGGTCTACACCCCAGCTCTTGTATGCATAAATAAATCTTTAAAAAAAAAAAAAAAACTGGGCCTCCCCTGGTAGTGCAGGTGGTTGAGCGCAGCGCTGTGAAGCTGTCCACAGCTTCTGCAGCGCCAGTTCGGTCCCAGCCAGCGAGGATCCCACATGGCGTGGCAGACCTCTCCTGTTGCACCCGCTGCTCCCCTCACCAGTGTATTTCGTCAGTCTGCCTGTTCTGTTCCCCACTCTGTCTCTGGTGAATCCTCTCACCCTCCCGCGCATCTGGCCTATACCTCAGTTCTTGTATAATTAAAAGAACTTAAAAAAAAGCAAAACTGGGGGGCCTCCCTGGTGGCTCAGGCAGTTGAGCACCGCACTGTGAAGCTGTCCGCAGCCTCTGCAGCATGGGTTCAATCCCAGCCGGCCAGCAAGAATCCCACATGGCGCGGCAGACCTCTCCTGTCTCACCTGCTGTTCCCCTCAGCAGTGTATTTCGTCAGTCTGCCTGTTCTGTTCCCCGCTCTGTCTCTGGTGAATCCTCTCACCTTCCCACACCTCTGGCCTGTACCCCAGTTCTTGTATAAATAAATCTTTAAAAAAAAAAAGAACTAGGGTATAGGCTAGAGGTGTGGTGGTGAAAGGATTCACCAGAGACAGAGTGGGGAGCAGAACAGATAGATTTGCTGAAGTACACTGCTGAGGGGAGCAGCGGGTGAAACAGGAGAGGTCTGCTGCGCCATGTGGGTCAGCTCCATGGCAGGGCATCAAACTCAGGCTCAGGCCATATTGGTGATAGTGCTGAGACTTAACCCCTAGGCCACCAGAGAGGCCCACAAGCAGGGTTTTAGTGGCTTAAATGAGATAGCCAAACAGTGCACAAAATCAAAGCAGTGAATGTTACTTTGCTTTATGGCCCAGAGCTCCATGCCCTGTACCCAGCAGGCTTTCTAGATTTATGAATGCAGGAGTGAGTGCGTGCATGAACTAGTCTGATAGGCACGTGCAAACTGTGGGTAGAAGCAATGAGGTGTTACATCAGAAGGTGACCTTCCCCGCTTAATCCTGTCACCACCCCCTCAGGACCCTCTCACTCTTCCCACTGCCCACCCTGTCCATCCCCCGTCCCTGGCCCTCACGTTATATGCGTCCATGATGAGCTGTAGCACATTGCTGGAGTCCTTACTCAGTTCCCCCACCACAGACTTCGGTATTAGCTTACTCAGCTCCTGAGTTCAGAGGCGTTAAGGGAAAGGGTAGATCACAGCTCTAGGCAAAGGGGCTTCTGGGGGGCTGAAAGGAGGGCATATAAGGGTGGGGGAGAGAATGGAATTTGAGGGGATTAGAAAGGCTTAGGGAGGGGTCTGGGGCTTCAGACAGCTCTCACCTGGTAGAGGGGAAGTATGGTGCTGGTGACTGCAAAGATGGGCTGGATGTTCGCTGCAGAGAGGGCCTGGGCTACCTGACCCACTGAGGGATAGTCCTGGGGCGGGGGTGGGGGCAACGTGAGCACCACAGCCCTCACCCCATGCAAGAGCCCATAGCCCAGGGAAGCCAGTAATCAGGGTTCCAGCTGGTTCCGGAGGCTTGGCAAGGAGGAGGGAGGGACTCAGGAGTGGGAGACACAGATTCTGTCAGCGCTGGGGGGACATGGTGATGAGACACTGGGGAAGACAGCAGGGTGGGTCCTGGTAAGGAGAATGAGGCTGGGGGTGGCAGTCTGGGAGGAGAGGAGAGAGGGTGGGACTCACAAAATCTGGGCTTCGACTGTAGAGGCCATTGCCATCCAAGTGGCAGCGCCCATCACTGGGCATGAAAATGCCGCCCAGCTTCCCATCGCCTGCTGTGTGGAACGTGTCGTCTGAAGTGAACACCAGCAGCCGGGACACATTTTTCCAGCCAATCTGCTCCTGGGAGGGGTTGGGGTAGGCTGTGCACCTGGCCTGGCCCCCAGCCTTGTCTGCCAGCCAAGGACTTGACCAGACTTGCCCATCCCCCTGCCTCCAGCTTCCTACTCCCCAGACCCCAAGAGAGGGTTGCTTGCTAGCAGAGACCTTCTTGTGATTTAGGAAAACATATCTTCTTCCCCCAGGCTACCAGGAAATTGTCAACATAAATATGTAAACTACAGCAACTGTGATAGGAAAGGCAGCCCCTGGGCACACGCACTGCACAACCTAGGTGGCATCCTAGCCCCAAACAGCCCTTCAGACTCACCTCTGCCCTCCCTCCTTACCTGGCAGAGAGCAGCCTGCAGAATGGCGTCGAAGCCACCTTCGGGCGAGTCTAGGTTGCCAGATACATTCTGGCGCCCCACCTCTCGCTCGAAGGCCTTGGCATCCTCCGTGAGGGGCAGCACATGGTGAAAACTGAAAGGTGGCTGGCAGCGCTCCAGCCGGCTAGGGCAGGGGTGGCGCAGCTTGGAGGGCACTGTGCTCACAAAGGGGAGCACCGTTTTGTCCACAAAGGAGCCAAAGCCTACGAGGGAGGAGGCATGAAGGCTGACCAGAGGCAAGGGCGTCGCAGGATGGGGGCCAAGGCTGGGGACTCAGAAAGGAGGGGAGGGGGTGGGAGGCTGGGGAGGCTGTCACAGAGGAGGAGATAACGGGAGAGAGTACTAGAGGGCAGGGCCCCAGTGCCTGGTAGGGGCAAAAGGTGACTCAGAAGTGGATGATGGGAGGGATTAAGACTAAGGGAGGCTGTGCCCGGTGGGGGTCAGGCAGTTTCCTGAGGGCTGAGGAAGAATGTCAGGGTGTAGGGTATAATAGCAGGGTGAAGCTTGGGGGGGCTCTTGCATAAGGGAGAGATAAGCGCAGAACAGGCAGCCAGGACAGTGACACTTAGGCCTTGTCCAAGAGACACCAGGCTGAGGCAGTATTCAGGTTGGCAGGTCCATGGACCTCTCTGAGCAGTCTTTCCAGACTCTGGGCTGGGCTACCCCCGCTGTACAATGAGTGCTCCTGTACCGTCTCGCCTGTCCCCTCCGGGTCTGACCTAGGGGGCCGATGTCTTTGAGGAGAAATGTCAGGAGCCCGTGGCCGAGCCAACTCTGTTAAATACAGAGATGGCGGCGGGGGCCTTGGTGTGTCCAGGACATGGCAGAAGCTAAGGCATCTGTGAGAGGGGAAGTGACGGGTGGGGCGGGCGCTTGCGGGGCAGGACTCCGCTCACCTATGCGCACAGACCCAGTGACGTTCTTCAGCCTTGTCAGCAGGGCCTGCCCCAGGCTGCGCACCTGCTCCAGGTCGTCCTTCATGGAGTAGCTCAGGTCCATGAGGTAGTACAGGTCCACGGGGTATCCCTTAGCACGGAGGAAGTGGACCCCAAACTGCTGGGGCTCCCCTGGGGGGCCGGGGCTGGGTCAGCCTGGTGCTTGGGATCCCAGCCCAGATCCCAGCCCCCTCCCGACAGGCCCCAACTCACCCGGCCGCAGTGTAACCCGGATCCGCTGCGGTGCCAGCTGCGTAGCCCCCTCGCCATGGGTGCCCTGGCTGAGCGGCTTGTTCTGCAGCACCTCCGGCTTCCCGTGGGGCTCCTCCAGCTCCTCCGGGGGGCAACCCCGAGCCAGCAACTCCTCCCGCAGAGCACAGCGCCTTTCTGCCGCCTCCCCCACAGTGGTGAAGTTCTGCACAAGCAGAGGCGTGGGCACCCCAGGCCCCCCGGATCCCTCAGAGCCAGCTCCCAGGCCCACCTGGCCATCCCCTGCCACTTCTAACCCACTCAACCCGCGGAGCCCCTCTGACCTCCCCGTGCCTCCCCACCACGCTGCCCTCCGCTGGTTCTTTCTTCCTAGTCTGAATCCCATTTTCTGGGTCACTCCCGCTTCCCTTCCCTCTGGACCTCCCTCCCCTTCCTCAGCCACTGGCTCTTCTGGTCCCGGACATCCAGTGAGATCTCAGACACCCCACTACCACAAAAAATAAATAAAGCCTGGCTTCCTAGTCCAACCTCTCCTGCAAGCTCTTATCAAAATGGGAAGGGGGGGGCCCTGGTGGCGCAGGGGTTAAAGTCTCAGCACTATCAAGCTATTGCCAGCAAGTTTGATCCCAGACTGGGCACAGCAGACCTCTCCTGTCCCCCTCTGCTCCCCTCAGCCGTGTATTTCAGTCAATCTGCCTGTTCTGCTCCCCGCTCTGTCTCTGGTGAGTCCTCTCACCCCACCCCACCCCCACACCTCTGGCCTACGCCCCAGTTCTTGTATATATAAATAAAATGTCTTTTTAAAAAAATGAGAAGGGGCCCAGGCTAAGACCCACAGTTCCTGCAAGGGGAAGGACAGAGGCAGAAGACGAGACCCCTCCCCCCAATGAGTCTGGCACCCCTTGGACTGGCTGGGCAGCCACAGAGGAAGGAAATGGTTAGAGGAGCTTGTCCGGAGCCAGCCCCTGCTCTGGGGGGTGGAGGTAGACACATCCCTGCTGTCCCAGAGCATCCACCTGGCACCTCTGCCCTCTGCCTCCTGCCTTCTCTTGAGCATCCCCCTGCCTTCCATGCCCCAGATTCCCCATGCGCCTTTCTCCAGAGCCTCAGCCACCATGGCCCCGCCTCCTCGTGAATTTGCCCGCATCTCTTATCTGACTCTTATCTTGCTTTGAGAGAGACGGTCTGCTTAAGCTGCCAAGCCTATGGTATTTTGTTGTGGCACCAGGTCCTCTATCTGTGTATTAAGCATAAGTCCGACAAGCACATACTTCCTCCATATTCATGGTCACAAGTCTTCTCCATGTATGGACAAACACAGACGCAGACATGATTGGACATGCACATGGCACTTACACATGCTCACACACACAACAGTACGTAGAAGTCCCGTGTGCACAAACTCAGTCACACACAGGACTACAGGTGCACCCACAGAGCATCACAAAATCACACAGGTGCTCACACAATCTTACACACATCACATACACACACAAGGTTCAAAGGCCACTGGCCCTTCTTTACCAGTTGCTTGCACCATGCACAGCTTGGGTGTGAGAGGATGCACTGCCGACAGGAGGGTGCTGGCTGGCACGACCCCAGCAGAGACAGGTCAGGATCCCTCCGTGCTGCGGCCTTCCCTAGGGATGAGATCTTGATGTCCTGCTCACTCTCACCTTTGCTCAGGGCCACCAGGAAAACAAGGGTCATTGACAAAGTCATCATGACCTGTAACGAGATACCAAGGGACATGGGTCCTCAGGGAGGAGGTCCTCTAAACTTAGCCTGTGATTGTCAGTCTCAAAACTGTAGCCCAGCTCTTCTCCCCTCATCATTGTACTTCCCTCTGTGGATTCAGCAGTTTCTTCAAAATGGCAAGAAGGGACAGGACATGGCTGGATTATAGGCCGCAGAGAAGACCAGTCTTTCCTATGTGCAGACTGCCCAAGGCCAGAGTGGTGAAATTGGCCTAACCAGTAGTCTGGGGATTGACTGGAGGCCCTGAGATCTACCCTCAGGTTTTTCACCTAGACTCCAAGTCACAGTGGAAATAGAAACAAAAGGAAATGACCAAGTCCTGGCTCTGACTTAGTTACTCACTGGCTGGGTGGCCAGTCAGACTTTCTCTCTGGGCCTTAGTTTTCACAACTGTAAAGTAAGGAAGTTGAATAAATAATTTTACGGTCTTGCAACTGTCATAATTTTGTATTCTAAATAAGGGAAGAGGGTCAAGAGCTCAAAATAAAGGAAGAAAGACAGTATAAGAATGAGAGGGAAGAAGGGCCTCCTTGGTGGCACAGGGGTTAAAGACAGCGCTGTCAAGCTGTTGCCAATCTCTGGTGAATCCTCTCACCCCTCGCACCTCTGGCCTACACCCCAGCTCTTGTATTCATAAATAGATAAATCTTAAAAAAAAAAAAAACACTATTGTTGCATACAAGAACTGGGGTAGGGGCCTCCCTGGTGGCGCAGGTGCTTAAGTACCGCACTGTAAAGCTGTCCGCAGCCTTGGCAGCATGGGTTCCATCCCAGCTGGCGGGCAAGAATCCCACATGGCATAGCAGACCTGTCCTGTCTCACCCGCTGCTCCCCTCAGCAGTGTATTTCTGTTGTCTGCCTGTTCTGTTCCCTGCTGTCTCTGGTGAATCCTCTCACCCTCCAGCACATCTGTCCTGTACCCCGGTTCTTAATTTTTTTTTAAAGATTTATTTATTTATTTATATGAGCACTGGGTATAGTCAGAAGCGCAGGAGGGTGAGAGAATTCACCAGAGCCAGAGCGGGGAGCAGAGCAGGCAGAAGGACCGAAGTACACTGCTGAGGGGAGCAGCGGGCGGCAGGAGAGGTCTGCACGCCATGTGGGACCCTCCTCTGGTGGCCGGGGAGCAGCCGGGGATTGAACCGGCGCTGCAGAGGCCGCGGGCAGCTTCGCAACCCAGCGCTCAACCGCTGTGCCACCAGGGAGGCCCCACCCCAGTTCTTATATAAATAAATCTTAAGAAAAAAACAACTGGGGTACAGGCCAGAGGTAAGGGGGAAGTGAGATGATTTACCAGAGACAGAGTGGGGAGCAAAGCAGGAGGATCCACTGAAATACACTGCTGAGGGGAGCAACAGGGAGACAGGAGAGGTCTGCTGCGCCACATGAATCAGCTCCCTGGCCCTGGGTGCTGCTGTGGCTGTGGATAGCTTCATAGTGCTGCAACTTAACCCCTTGCGCCACCAGGGAGACCCCTAAATAAATAAATCTTTATTAAAAAAAAAACCTAAATGTAAATGATTAATCTATAAATTCTAAGAAAAAAATATAAGGGTAATGCTTCAAAATCTTGGACTCAACAATGGCTTCTTAGGTATGACATCAAAACACAGCAACAAAAGAAAAAACAGATAAATTGGACTTCATTAAAATGGAAAACTTTTTAAAAAATTTATTTTTGCATAGACGAACTGGGGTGTAGGCCAGAGGTGCAGGGAGGTGAAAGGATTCATCAGAGACAGGGTGGGGCGCAGAAGAGACAGGAAAGATCTGCAGCTCCCTGGGCAGGGATCGAACTCAAGCTGTAGTGTTAATAGTGCTGAGACTTAACTCCTAGGCCACCAAGGAGGCCCTACAATTGAAAACTTGTGCATCAAAGGACACTCTCAAGAGAGTGAAAAGATAGGTCATGGAATGGGGTGGGGGGGGTGGAATTGCAAATCCTATATCCCTCAGCATGCAGAATATGTAAGGAATTCTTAGGACTCAACAACCACAAAATTTTTTTTTTAATTGGCGAAGGACTTAAATAGACATGTCTTTACAGAAGACATACATGTAGACAATAAAGACATGAAGTGCCAGTGGTACTCAATCAACATCATTGGGGAAATGCAAGTCAAAACTCCAATGAGACATCACTTCACCTGCAGCAGGATGACTATAATAAAAAAAATGGAGGGCCTCCCCGGTGGAGCAGCAGGTTGAGCGCAGCCCTGTGAAGCTGTCCACAGCCTCTGCAACGCAGGTTCGTTTCCCTGCCGGCCAGGGTGATACCCACATGGAGTGGCAGACCTCTCCTGTCTCACCCGCTGCTCCCCTCAGCAGTGTATTTCGGTCAGTCTGCCTGTTCTGTTCCCCACTCTGTCTCTGGTGAATCCTCTCACCCCCACCCCACATCTTTGGCCTGTACCCTGGTTCTTGCATGCATGAATAAAATAAATCTTTAAAAATAAAATAGAAGAAAAAAATAAATAAATGAAAGAAAAAATGGAGTCCTCCTATGTTGCTGGTGGGAATGTAAAACAATACGATCACTGTGGAAAAGAGTTTAGTAATTCCTCAGTAAGGTAAAATACAGAATTACCCAATGATCCAACACAACCCTCCTAGGTATAGTCTCAAAAGTATTGAAGAGAGGTGTTCAAACAAGAACTTGTTTATGAATGTTATAGCAGTAGCAGTCACAGGAGGCAAAAGGTAGAAAGAACCCAAATGTCCATCAACTAATGAATGGATAAACAAAAATCGGTTTAGGGGGCCTCCCTGGTGGTGCAAGGGGTTAAGCACAGCACTGTGAAGCTATCTGCAGCCTCTATAGCCTGAGTTCGATCCCCAGCCAGAGAGCCACCCACATGGCGCAGCAGACCTCTCCTGACTTGCCCGCTGCTCCCCTCAGGAGTGTATTTCTGCAGATCTGTCTGTTCTGCTCCCCACTCTGTCTCTGGTGAATCCTCTCACTGCCCACACCTCTGGCCTGTACTCCAGTTCTTGTATGCATAAATAAAATAAATATTTTTTTAAAAATCAGTTTAAGCATACAATGAACTATTATCTTCATGCCGCAAGGAGTCATGAAGTACTGTTAACCTGCTACAACACCAGTGCACCTTGGGAACATGCTAAATGAAAGAAACCGCTAACAAAAACAACACATATTGTATGATTTCATTTATATGAACTAGCCAGACTAGACAATCCAGGGAGATTGAAAGTACATTAGTGATTGATAGGGGTTAGAGAGGAGGGGTGAAGGGGAGTGGCTGCTAAATGGGCGGTTTCCCTCTGGTCAAAAGTTCTAGAACTAGATAGTGGTTATGGTTGCACAACATGTGAATGAACTTAATACTACTGAATCGTACACTTTAAAATAGTGAAAATGGTTGATTTTATGTGTATTTTTTTAAAGATTTATTTATTTATGCGTACAACAACTGGGGTACAGGCCAGAGGTGCGGGGACGGGGAGGTGTGTATGTGTGAGAGGATTCACCAGAGACAGAGTGGGAAGCAGAACAGGCGGATCTACTGAAATCCACAGCTGAGGGGAGCAGTGGGGAGACAGGAGAGGTCTGCTGCGCCCTGTGGGTCAGCTCCCTGGCAGGGATTGAACCCATGCTGCAGAGGCTGCAGACAGCTTCACAGTGCTGCGTCTTAACCCCTTGTGCCACCAGGGAGGCCCTATGTGTATTTTCACACAATAAAAAATAATAGAAATTAAATAACATAGTGAGAAATCTCCCATTCCTATTCCCATCCACCCGTCTCCTCCATACCTGCTCCAAAGAAATAACCATCATTTATTTTCATATTTTGTTTCTTATAATCTTTGTAGAGATTATTTTATATATACAAACTAATTTGAACACACACATTTTCTATATATATATAATATACACACTCTTCAAATGGTAGAATCAAATAGAATTCTACAAATGGTAGATTATTTTACAGACAGTTTTGCACTTTCTTTTTTTTTAATTACTTTTTTTTTTGGAGATTCTGCTACCCAAGACAATAAAAATCTTCCTTGTTCACTTTACAGCCATGTAGATTTCCATTTCACAAATGTATCCTATTGTAGGTAATTAATTGCTTATAACGGAGATTTAAGTTGCTGTTAATTGTTCAGTTATAACCAATGCTGCAGTGAACATTCATGGACTTTTTATTTCACATGTCACATGTAAGGGAATCTGTCAGATAAACCTTTGGGACAGGATGCACTGGGATGAACAGGCATCACTTGTGTGTCGGTGGCCTGTGCTCGCTGGTATCCCCACCCAACTGCTTGTGATGAGTCCACATCCTCCTCGGCCGGGGCCCAGACTCAGACCCAGATGCCCTGCTCCAAGCATGGGGAAGGGCGTGAGTTATTAGAAACTGTTGACCACCCATCCCGCCGCCCGCCAGCTGTGACCTCAGGTGTAATATTTGTATAACGAAGCCTCCACTCCCCCTCCACACAGGCCCCGGGCTCAGCCTCAGTGCGACCTCAGCCCTGTTGCCCTGCAGCTGTGGTCACGGAGGGAGGCGCAGCTCTGCAGCACAGGCCTGTCCTGACTCATCTCTTACAGGTGGGGCTCTGTTGCTCACGCTGTTTCCGCAGGATAGGGTAACCCAGAGACCTCAAGCCAAGCCCATGTCCCTTAAAGGGGGCCTGGACTCCCTGGGCAGCCCTCTCCAATCCTCTGCTCCCTTTGCTCCCCCCTCTCCCATCCTTGGGGTCCAGGATCTGTGAAGTGATTCTCTGAATCTCTCTTTCTTTCTCTCTTCAAATACTGAATTACATCTCTCTGCTGCTTTTTCTTTCCATTGCTTCACAGTTCTTTGTTTTACTTCCTTTTCCCCTTTGACCCTAGCCATAGAATGGCAGAACTTTCTGCTTTAACCTCCTCCTTACAAATGGAAACCAAAATCCCAAAGCATAAATGACTTGCCAAGGTCAACAGTGAACTAGAGGCAGGAGGGGGTCGTGGCAGATAAGGCTTTCCTCGCCTCCAGCGCTGGCGTCACTGTCGCCATCACTGCAAGTTCTTGCCTGTCACCTGCTCCCCAGCGGCTCTTCATCACCTCTTTTCTCTTTCCTTGAGCATCTTCTTCAATCTTGTCTCCAGGGTCATCCCATTTTCCTGGCCTCAACTCTGACTGCAGGATATACTCTCTAGCCCCCTCTGCAGCTGAGAACAGCCTCTTCCCCGCTCATCAGCTCTGCCAGGTCAAGCGGAACCCTCTGCTGCCCACAGTCACAGGAGGGAAAAACCAAGCTGCTGGCTCCACTCTCCAGGGGTGTGGGGACTGTGACCAGCTGTCACCTGGGAGGTCCAGGCACTGGCATTAGGCAGGAGGGCGGGGAGAGCAATGCGGGAGACCACCTTACCTTGGCATAATTCTTGGCACAGGGCAGCAAGAATGCATCGCCCTGGTCTTTCCTCCCCCAGCCCCGCTCAGTGCAAGGGAGAGAGAGGTGGGGGAGAGGAGGGTGGGCGAAGCCGGAGAAGGAAACAGGGACAGGGACTTCAGGAAAGCGAAAAGGAGTTCCCAGCCTTGCTCAAGTCTCCACAGAATCACGGGTGTCTTCAGGGCCCAGCCCTCTTCCAGGGAGGTGAGGCCCAGGCTAACAAAGAGAGGAGACGGGGAGCCAATGCCATGGTACTCACAGGTGCGTGCAGAGCGGCCTTCCTCGCTGGCAGCTGGCAGCAGCCGTCTTTGTGTACTGATCTGGAAGCCTACAGAGGAGGAAGTGACACGCCTGGGTGGGGGAGTTTTGTGGGGGGTGACTACTAGAAGGTGGAGCAGATAGAGGTGGAACTGGGTCAAGTTGATGGTGGGGATCTGGAAGGAAGCCCAGCGACTGAGCTCCTATTCTGTGCTGAGTGCATCGTGATGTTAAAGAAAATCCTAACAAGCACCTCATGACATAGGAGTCAGTAAACAACTCCCTCGCCCGTTGTACAGATGCAGAGATGGAGGCTTACAGGCAGGAAGGAAAGAACTTGGCCCAAGGTCACAGACCTTGGTGCCCAGAGTCTGGGATTTCCATCCAGGTCTGCCTGTCTCAAAACTGATGGCCTCTCCACTTCCTGATGTAAGAGCATAGCAGGAAGAACCATGGCGGCAGCGTTGCAGAGAGGGGGCCTACGTGACTACTGTTCATTTTGAAGACCCAGTGCCCTTTGTATCACCAGGTGTGCTTAACTACCTGACCTCTGTAGCCAAACTGCCCAAGTCAAATCCCGGCTCTCCCCTGTACGAGGTGGTGGGCTCAGGTAAGGCACTTCACCCTGCGGGTGCCTGTGTTTCCGTCACTCAAGTGGAACCCATAGGACTGTTGTCAGAACCGAACGAGATAAGTCCCATCAACTTGGAAAAGAACCTGGCACGCACTAAGCGCTTAGTGAGAAATAGCAGAGGAGAGAAGTAGGGGGGGTTGAGAAATTCAAGGGCCAGACTGCTGAGAAATTGGAGAGGCTCAGGGCCTGGCTCAGCGAATGAGACTGGGGCCCAAGGAACCCAGACGGCGGTGGACCCTGGGGAGTGCGTGGGAATGACAGCTGGAGCCCAGGCCCGCAGACAGGGCAGGAGGGGTGTGGAGAAGCTATGCCCCAGGCCCACGCTTGGCCACAGGTGACACGGTGGCCAGCAGAGGAAACTGGACATGAGGCTGTGTTTACAGGTCTGTCTTCCCCGCTAGACCACTCTGTGCGAGCAGGGCTGACTAGTCACAGCAGCAGGCGAAGTGCCTTTCTCACCTGAGGCCTCCGTAGGTCCCCATGGGCAGCCATGCAGCTGTGGGAGGGACAACTGGGGCAAAGGGGCACCTTCTTGGGGTGGGGGGGCGGGCGCTATTTTGGACTTCAGGCTCCGGGGCCTCCTACCCTTCCCCCACAGCCAAGGGTTACCATGGCAATGACCCTCTTCCCAGGAGAGGGCCGGTGGTTTCCTCTAAAGCTTCTTTCACTTTCTTCTTCTGCTTTCCTCCACTCTCCCTGCCTCTCCCCTATTCTTGTCTCCTCCCCTGCTCCCACGTCCTCAGCCTCTGTCTCCCATAAGCACCAGTCTCCGGCGAAGAACATCAGGCACAAGGTAGGCAAGGCACTGTCCGGGAAGGCAGGCCGCCAGGAGGAGGCCTGAGGGGGAGTCGCAGAGGGCAAGACAAGACAACAGAGGGTGCAGCGGTAGAAGCCAAAGAAGAGGGGCTGAGGTTGGGGCATAGCAGAGGTTAGAGGTGTAGGGGCAAGGGGAGGTACTAGCACAGAAGGCATCAGTGGGGCTGTGGCAGGCTTGGGGGGTGAAGAGTAGAGTCAGAAGGGGTGAGGCAGTGACCTGAGACAGTGGGGTCACAGTGGAAAGCTCACGGAAGGGCTGGTATGAAACAGAAACACTAACTCTGATGCAGACCCGGGGCCAGGGACCCTCATGAAAACCAAATGAAACTTGAGTGAACCTTCCCCAGAGAAGGGCAGATAGGCAGACCCCCCACTGGGGGTGGGCACAGCGCTAGAGACAGCTGACGCCCATGCCCGCCTTCCGAGAGGCCCACAGGGTCCAATCTGAGAAGGCCCACGGGTGGCTGTGGGAGGCCCAGACACTCAGGGTGGCCCTGCCGGCTGCCCCCACCATCGGAGTGTCTCCTTGGTTCCCCTGCGCAAGCTGCAAAATCCAGAAGATTAGGCACTCAGCTCCTCACCCACCTCCCTCTCTAGGTATTTCCTTAGCACCTCAGAGAGGGAGCCACATCCCAAGAGTTTCCATCACTTTATTTTGCAAAAATAGAAAACTCAGCAATATGCGATACAGCGGGCTGAGGGGAAATGTAAACAGAGGGGAGGGGACAGCACCCTGACCCCCCAGAGAAAAAGGGGAGCCATTGGGAATCTTATTTGGCAGCTAAATACAAACAGGGGATTGGCGGGGAAAGGGGAGGGGTCACAGGGGCCCTGGGCTCCCCCTCCCAAGACCCCCGGAGGACGCGATCAATTCCAGGGTGTAAACAAAAGCTAATAAATAAATAGAGGCTTCCTCTGGGTCAAGGCGGGATCAGCTAAGCAGCGCCCACCCCCCCCTCCCGGGGCCAAGCTGCTCTGGGGGGTCAAGGGAGAAGGCACTGGGGGCAGAGGGATCGCAGGCCCCTCTGTAGTGTAGGAGGGTCCCCGCCCCAATGGCTGAGATGGGAGGCGAGGGGAGCCCAAGGCACATGACAGGGCTGGGGGGCGGCTTGTAACGGAGGCCACCAGGCAGGCCAGCCCCAGGGAAGAAGTGCAGAATGGACCTGCATCTGCCCCTTTCACCCTCCGGCCCCTCTGAAATGAAGGGCCCAGCCTGCCCCACCCTGACCTGGCACGAGGATGGGGCACAGAGGGCATGCACCTGGCAGGTGCGGACAGGTGCATTACGCAGCATTAGGCACCAAGGGAAGGAGCGAGAGAGTAGGCTCAGCCCTCCCCCTTCACCCCTCTTTTGGTCTCTAGTGTTCCTGTTTGCTCCCAGAGGCCTAAGCACCTGGCAGAGGGACTGTGGAATGGCAGGATCTTCCTCCTGCCCTGGGGAGCCTGGGGCCCTGGTATCTGAGGGGCAGCATGGAGATTTTAGCATCCAAACCCAGGCCGACCCCGCTATCCTCTCTCCCAGTGGGAGGACAGGCCCCCGAAACTGGAGAGGGAGTCGAGTAGAGCAGGAAGGGGATGAACACAGAGGCACCCCTAGAAACTTTGGCAAAAACAAGGAGCTCAATGGAAGGGGTGGGGAGAGGGCAGAGCAGGTCCTCCCCCAGTCGCTGGCGCTGCCCGGGAGATGGTCAGTCTGCTTCCTGGAGCCCCGACCCCCAGGGCAGGGGAAGTCAGGGGCCCTGTTCAGCCTGGGGGCTGTGGCCCCCTTTGTCCTGGCTTCCAGGAACCTCATCCTCGCTAGAGGCCTTGGGGTGGGGACCAGGCTGCGAAGAGTCGTCCTCAAACATTTCGGGGTTCTCCAGCATCTCTCGGATCAGGGGAGGCATGGGGCCTGGAATCTCCATCTTCAGGGTGATGGCCCTTTCCGCTCCTGCAATGGAGACACAAAGAGGTTAGGGGGTGGGATGCAGAGGCAAATGTCCCTTGAGGCCAGCCCCCCAACCTTTCTCAACTGCCCTATGACTCTCCTCTGGGGGCTCCCAGCGCAGGCCAACCACTTCTCGGTCCCTAGTTCACCTCACTGCTCTAGGCCTCCTGGGGCCACTCCTCTGCCTGAAGCCCCTATACCTGGCTTCTCCGCCAAGTCTGCTGCCCATTTTTCCATTCTTCCAGGTGGTCTCCTCAAAGGTCACCCCATTCCCAATGTGTAACCCCAACCCCCAGGCCCCTAACATTCCTCTCATGTCCAGAGCCTGCCCTAGGCCTGTTCTTATTAACAGATACAATAATGGTTAATAATTATCGCTGTCTCCCTGGCATCCTTCTAAAGGGACACTGGCCACTGAACTTTCTGCGATGATGGAAACACCTGCTCTGTCCAAAACACAGGCAGAACCGAATCTGTCACTGAGCACAGTGGTGCACCAACTCGCCTAGTCCTCAGAATAAGTTTAAGAGGCAGCTATAAATCAGCCCAGCTGAGCCACAGGAAAGTACCAGAGGGCAAGCAATCTACCCGAAGTCTCCTCAACAGCATGAGCAGAGCTAGGATTCCAGGGCAGGCGACCTGGGTCTCAGCGGCCCTGTTCTTGTCTTTGCTCGTCCCCCTGCCTGACTTGGAGACCAGCAGCTCCAGGGAGAGGGGAAGCTCCCCGCTGACTAACCCTTGGTGCTGATGCCCCGGAGGTCGGTGATCTTCATGAGCATCCTTGGGAACATGTAGGGCTGGCTGGGCCGCCGCCGCCGGGCGTACAGCCTCAGGGCTTCCAGCAGTGGCTCCTGCAGCTTGTCCACTTTTTCGGGTTCCTCCAGGTCCATACGGTCTGTGGGGACAAGCACATTCAAGTAAGAGAGCAAGAGATGGAGAAGACGGTGACAAGTGGCTGATCCCCAAATGGCCCTGGCCTATGGGCCTGTGGGCCCCAAACTTGTCCCGTTAGCCCCTCCCCTGTTGTCCCTGAACCCCACCCAGATCGTCTCTCCCGCTCCAAGGCCTGTGCCTTCTCCCCTTCAGCAAGAGGTTTTCTCTGCTGATCACTCCTGCGCAGATCCCTGTCTCAGCACCAGCATCCGGGTCATGTCTACTCAGCCCTTGCCCCTCTTTTTGTCCGGGCTGCTGGGGAGCCTGTATGGATCTGAGAAGCCGGTGTATGGAGCCAGGTACGACAATCCCAGGGGTGGGGACCGAGGTCTCCCGCCTCCTTGGCGATCAGGTGTGAGAAAGGGGCATTAGCAAACGCCAGGGGGCGCCCCACACCTCCACAGATGAGGCAGATGGCGCTGAGCAGCCCGGTCTCGGTGTCATCCATCTCAAGGGGCAGGAGCTGCCCGGCGAAGGCAAAGACGAGGTCTGTGAGGGGCCCAAAGCCGGCGTTGTGCATCTGGGTCCGGTTCAGGGTCAGCCCATCAGAGAAGGTCATGGTGTCCTGTTCTGGGGTGTACCTTGTGCAGATCCGCAGCATCTGCGGGTGGCAAGGGGAAGGCTTAGCGCTATCTCTGGGGCGGGGCATGGGAAAAAAGAGTGAGGTGCACATGGCAAATGAGGAGATGGGCCCAGAAGGGTGACCCGGAGCAGGCCTGGGCAGGGAGGCAGGGGCTAGAGGACCCGAACCCTGGGTGAGAGAAGCTAGGGGGCAGAGCTGCCTGAAGTTTAGGGACAGGCCTTAGCGGCGGGGTTCAGGCCTTGGGTTTGGAGGCACTCTGGGGACTGCCAGACTGGAAGAGGGAAGAGAGATAATGAAATCTTTGTGTGGACCAACTCCTTCGTCTCCGGAGGTTCAGGCTGGGGCAGGAGCCGCTTACCAGGATGTCCAGGCAGGCGGCCTTGAGCAGGGTGATCTGGTCAGCAATGCTGAGTCCTGTAAAGCCAGGCAGCCGCTTGGCAAACTCCACTATCTTGATAATGCACTTGGTGGCAAGCTCACTGAACTTGTCCCACAGTCCCAGATCCAGCTGGACCCGGTGGTCTGCACTGGAGTTCTGCAGGGAGTGGGGGTCAGAACATAAGGTGAGGCCACCCTGGGCTTGTCTTGCTGCCAATCGCCCTAGCGCTGGCCCCTGGATTCTGCTCCCCCACTGTCTGCCCCACCAGATCCTGGGCTCCAACACAAGCCCTCCCATTCCCCAAGGTGAACAGTCCCCCCCACTCCTCACCGTGGTGTATTTGCCCAGCTGGCAGAGCGAGGGGAAGGTCTCCTGATGGGCTTTGCTGACCTTGGTGATGAGCTCTTCTAACTGGGGGCTCAGCTCGTAGCTGTCAAGTGATGCTTCTTCTTTTACCTCTTTCTTCTTCTTGTTCCTGTCATTCCGCACAGCTTGGGGGTGGGGAACAGAAGGAGAGGGTCAGGAAACTCAGTATGTACCTCCCTCTGGGTATTCCCCTTCACTCTAATTTCATGTGCTCAGTCCTTATCATGAACAGCTACTCCCGGGGACCCTCCTCAATGCCTCAGTTTCCCTATCTCCTGCATTAGGTCCCTTTCCCAGGCTGAGTCTCTCCAGCCCCACCCAAGGCCTGCAGCCCCTGCTCCCTCCCCAGGCCATTGGAGCTTGGTTCAGTCCTGCCCTTCCTGTCACCCTGCAGGAGTGGAGGGGGGGCAGGATATGCAGGCAGCAGGATATCCACTTATAACCTTGGCAGCACAATGGCGTAGGAGGGGGGGGACACCCCATCCCCCCCTTCAGTCCTGGGAGCAAGAGAGAGGACAGGCAAGGCCCCCCTACATCCCCATGGGAATGTGAGAAGGTAACCCCATTCACTCTTGCAGAGGGAGGGTTGAGCTGCTGGCTAGAGGGCAGCGTGAGAAGGGGTGGGGCCCCCTGAGTGGAGGGAGCTAATCAGATGGACTGGCCAGGGAGGAGCGTCAGCTAGGGCAGACTAGGTCTGGAAGTCAGGAAAGTGGGGGTGGCCAGGGAAGAGGGCAGCTACCACAGGCTAGGACGGGAGTCTCCCGGCCAGACAGGGGCTCAGCACCTACCTTCCTTGGACATGCCCACTTCGAAGCACTTCTGGAGCCTACAGTACTGGCAGCGATTCCGGGTCACCTTGTTGATGATACAGTTTTTGTCGCGGTGACATGTGTACACCATGTTCTTCTGGATGCTGCGGCGGAAGAAGCCCTGGGGTTGGGGGTTGGGGTGGGTGTCAGTCATGCTGGCAGTACCAGCCTCTCACAGGCCTCGCAGGTGGCCCCAGACCTGACCCAATCTATTAACCTCCGAGGTGCAAAGCTGCCTCCTCCTCCTCCTCCACGGGGGTGCCCACTCACACAGTGTCTCACTCCCCTGGCCTGGCCCCCGAGAGCTTCCCTCACCCAGCTCCCCAGGGCACCCAGCCCCGCCACATACACACCTTGCAGCCTTCACAAGAGCTGACCCCGTAGTGGTAGCCAGAGGACTTGTCATTGCACACGAAGCAAGGCTTATAGACGCGAGGAGGTGGAGGGGGCGAGGGCGAGCTGGGCACCATCTCCTCTGAGCTGGTGCTCTGTGTCTCCACCGCTGGGGGGCAAGCAGTGAGATGAGGTCAGAGAAGGAGGACCCCCTCAGACCTCCAGGCATCCTCATCACATACACACGTACGTGTACACGCACGCGCACACACACACACACACACAGAGCAGTGAGATGAGGTCAGAGGAGAAGGACCCCCTCAGACCTCCAGGCATCCTCATCACATACACACGTACGTGTACATGCACGCGCGCACACACACACACACAGAGCAGTGAGATGAGGTCAGAGGAGAAGGACCCCCTCAGACCTCCAGGCATCCTCATCACATGCACACGCGCACACACACACACACACACGTGCGCACACACACAGTCCTTCACCCCTCCCCGCTTCTTCCTCAGGGTCAGTAATGACAACGTCATCACTATCATAGTGGTTTCAAGTCCCAGCAACCACGTGTGGCTTCACAGTAAACTCTTCCAGAAAGCCCCAAACAAGCCCTTCTACTGCAGCTCCCACAGTCTGCCCATCTCCTCCCACAATCATGCCAGCTTGAGCCCAACGTGACACTGCTCAGTTCTCCAAATTCCAGGCCCAGACCATCCTGGAAGTTAGTTCCTCTCAGCCTCAGTTTCCCCAGTTCTGAAGTGGGTGGATGGAGCAGTTTCTCCAGTCACTTCCTGTCACAGGGGTTGATCCTTGTCAGGTAGGCTGCCTCCACCAGCCTCCTCCTGAGGCAACAGACCTGGGGGTGGGTAGGCAATTACAGGCTACCTGTAGCTAGCACCTGGCTAAATGACCCGCTGGGATACACTGTCGGCAGATCAGGGCCTCATTTCCTCTCAAGTAGCACAGGGTGGATGATCCTCAAAGCGTTCCTCTCACCCAGAGAGCCACCAGTGTCCTTTTCCCCAGAAGCCACTGGGGCAGTGAAGAAAATGGGATGGAAGTATCCGGAAAGTAGGTTAGGGGAGATGCCCTAGACTTATTTTACACCACAGAAACTGACTGCAAGAGAGAGAAGTGACTGGCCAGCGCCAAGATGCCAGCTGGTGGGCAAGTTAAGGCTCTTGGTTCTTCTGACTAATCTAAGCAGCCAGGCCAGGAGACAGAGAAGCTGGGGAACGGAAAGCAGGAGTTTGCTCAGGTTTTCAGGTCTACAAGCTGTTGGTGGTGTCGCAACCTGGAGAAGTCAGGTGACACCAGATAAACAGGTGGCGGGGAGAAGGGGACCACCTCTGCACCCTCTGACCCTATGTCTTCACTCTTAAACTCCCACAGACATCCACCAGCAGCTCAAAAGGGGTCTGAGGTCACGTCACATAGTTGGGGGGGAGCCTGTTCTGGAGGCGGTTGAGTGAACCTGGCTTGGGTGTCTGGTTGATCTTCAAATCTATATAATAATTATTGAAGCTGGAGGACCTGTTGCCCCAACCTGGAGGGCCCAAGTGAATGCAAGAAAACCCTAATGCCCCCCAAGGAGGTACCACACGCCCACCTCAGAAACACCTTCCTTCTAACAGCCTGCAACCCACATGGTCACAAGTCCACCTGGCCGGGGGCCAGAGGACAGAGAAATGCCCGGGATGCCAGGGTTAGGGTAGCTCCACCCACCCCACAGGAGGGAAGACCTCCCCACCCCCCACCACACACAGACGCTCGATTAGCATAAGAATCCTCCAGGAGTGTGATTCCCCAAAGGGAATGGAGAGCGGGGAGCAGAGGAAAGAAGGGTGCCTGCCAATCTATTCGGGCTGGGGGGCGGGAGGCTGCAGGAAGGGCTGGTGCGGAGAGCAGGGGGGGCTGGAATGCCTTTCAGGACCCCTCCGGTGTCCTCTGAGGGTGCATGTGCTGTCCACAGGCCAGTGCGTGGGGTGGTGTCACTCAGTGTTGACGCCCTCCCTGCCCGCAGAGCGCTGCCTCATTTCCTCTCTTGCGAAAGGGCCTGGGTGGGGTCAGGCTGGCATGGGGCAGTGCCAGTCAATTACAAGACTGGGGGCTGCAGGGAGACAGGCCTAGGGGCAGCTTTTCCCAACTAAATACTACTGTCACTGCTTCTCAGCATCCCTCCGCCACCCCCTAACCCCTGAACCCTCAAGTGCAACCGAGGAGCTCTGGTCACCTTGGGGCTAAGGGCGGAGGGAGGCTAATGGAGCCACCTCTCCTCGGATTCCCTTCTTCTGGGCCAAGAGAGCTCGCGGAGGGGACACTACTCCTGGGCTAGGCAGGGGCCCCTGCTGAGGAGGAGGGGGTGGGCTCTGGGTTTTTCTCCTTTTAAAGCCCAAATTGCTGAAATTGAGGAAATTCCTGGCCAGGCTGAGCGGAGCTTCAAACAAACTCTTTATAACCGGCTGTAAACGCTCCCAGCTGCGAGGCCCAGGGCTGAGAAGCCCAGACTCACAAACTGACACACACCTCCTTGGAGACACACTCTCACATGTCAACACCACACAGGCCACAAAGACGGGCATATCACCAGTGGGCTCCTAAGTCCCAAGCGTGCTCTGGCGCAGAACACACAGGTGGGCATAAAGGCACACTCCCCGGCACACCGTGGAGGTGGACACACAACCACGACACCTACACGCAGCCCCAGAGCTCCCTTCACATCTGCAAGGAAGCAGCTCTGCTACCACAGAGGTGCCCAGGCCTGTCAGCACAGCCCAGGATGCCAGGGAAGGGACAGGGGGACACACCACGTGGCCCCCTGGAGACCACTTTCCTTTCCCGGGTTAGAGCCACACAGCCACACTGCTTTCCCTAGAAGTGTGTGGTGCAGGCCTGAAGCTGGCTTGTGTGCTCACCAAGACCCTCCCGGCCACAATTATTGGTCGAGATTGAGATGCGAAAACCTACGACCAGCCAAGTCCAAGGAGCTTTCGCGGGCCTGAGAAAGACATGGGTGTCCTCCCCCACCCCGCCAAGCCCTCCCCGGGAGAGTGTCTCCACCTCAGCACCCTTCCCAGCATACTCTGTTCCCCATCCTATTATGCAATGAGGGGAAGGCTCAGAATTCACAAGAATTTGGTGCAGAGCGGTAGCTCCCTGCTTCCACCCCTTTAAATGCCACCCTTTCCTCTCTTACCCCACTCCACCCTAAAGTGTGTCTGCTGCTTGCCACCTCCCTCTCCCAGTCTCCCAGTTGTTAAATCTGAGCAGCTCTGCCCTGGAACCAAGAGACCAAAAAAAAAAAAAAAAAAAAAAAGCCGAACTTGTAAACAGCGCAGCCGAGTGCCAAGGAGTGAGCGTTGGCGGGGGCTTGGTGACCCCGAGCGCACTCCCCCTGCGCCCGGCAGCGTCTGGGTCTAGCGTGCCCCCGAGTCCCTAGTTCCCCAGAGTCTGCACCCAGGCAAGAGCTTGGTCCCAGCCCCAGGGAAATTTGGGGGGTATTCCAGGCTCTCTCCTGGCCCCTCCCCACACCCCCACCCCCGCGAGGCACTTCGGCCCAGGCTTCAAAGCCGCCTCTCATCTGGACTTCATTTTTACTGCCTCTCAGTCCCCAGCTTTTTATTACCGTTCTGGAAAGGGGTTCCAGGGCCCCAGGCCTGGCATCTCCCATTTCACAGAGCGGGAAGGATGGACATTTGGGGACCCAGGAGTCACACTGTCCCCGCCGCTGCCACCTCCAGGCCACCCCCCACCGGACAGACTTTTGCTTTAAACTTTTCGCTTCCTACCGAAGTTGTGTGCGTCGGAGCCAGAGGGAAAAACCATCTCCGCGCACAGCCCCGCACACGGCTGCCAACATTTCTTTTTAAAACGGGGGAGGGGGCGCCAGAGCCCAGCCTGCCCCCGGCGGGGCGCACCCCCCCTTCCACCCGCGCGGGGAGCGCACAGGATGCGCGCTGGAACACGGCACCTTCCCAACCGCCCCCGAGGCCGCGCAGGGCACACGCCCTCCGGCCTCACGCCACAAACAGCCCCACGCAGGGCCCTGCGGACCTGCCAGCGCCGTCGGCGGGGCGCCCTGCACCCACCCCGCCCAGACGCGGCGCTCCAGGGAGTCCCACGCTCGGCAAATAATATTTTTTACACTCCCAGCTTCCCACATGGGCTTTACAAACGCCACCTACGGGCTGGGGTGCCACATCCCGCCCCGGCCACGGGCCGATGGGCACGAAGCGCCAACACGCCTCCGCCTTTCCCTGCGCCCGGGACTCGAGTGCCATCCTCCACGGGGCCCCTCTGCGCGCCCCTCGTAACCCTCACACTCCAGACGCTCCTGCACACACCCCAAGGAGTCGCCGAGGCCCCCACGTTTAAAGGGCCAGCACCCGCTTTCGGAGACACCCCCTCGGGCGGGAAGGGTCGGAACCTCTGCCTGCAGCCCAGCTCCACCTTCCACACTCGGAGGGAGCCGCTACCGCGCCTGCACCCCGCGCCCCGCGCCCGCCGCCGGGCGCCGGTACCTACATTGCAGGCTGGCGGGCTGCGGCCAGGCGAAGGGCTCCAGTCCCGCGAAGCAGGCGCTGCCCGCGGCTCTGCGCAGCAAGCCGGCCCCGGGCCCGGCCGCCCCGTACAGCCGGCGCGGGCACGGCGCGAACGTCTCCATGCAGTCGTACATCGCGACCCGGCGTGGAGGGGAGCTGGGCGCTGGGAACACCGTGGGCCCGCAGCCGAGGCCCCCTCCTCCCCCGCGGCGCCCCGCTCCTGGAGGGGGGAGGGGAAGGGCTAGCATAGGGCGCCGGGCTGCATGGGGGGTAACGGGTGGGCGGGAAGGAGGGGATCCCCAGCGGGGGCAAGGGCGGGGCGGGGCGCTGAGCCCGGGCTGGCGCTGCGGCCGCGGTCCGGCTCGCTCTGGGCGCCGCCGCGGCTCGCGCTGGGGGACCTTTTGTAGAAGCGAAGCCCGGAGGGGTGGGGGGTGGGGCTTGCGGCCCGGAGGGGGCCGGGCACCGCGAGCAGGCTCGGCGCGGAGCGCACTCGCAAACACACGCTCGCGCCGCGGGGCGCGCGCGGGCCCGGGCGCACAGCCGAGCTGCCCCTCTCGGCTGGCACCGGCATCTGCAGACACGCGAGCGCGCGCGCCCGTGTGCGCCCCCGAGAGT